AAGGAGGCAGGAGGACCAGGTACAGGCTACTTTCAGCTCTAAACCCTTCACCTCTGGGCCTTTGTGTGCCAAGGTCAGGAGACACAGCCATGTGTGTGGCAGGTGTGTCTGTAAAGCTGCAAGCTGCTCTGCCCACCTGCTCTCCTCCCAGCAGCACAACCCAACCAGGGGTGGGCTCTGAGGCCTTCACCTCAGGATCCTCCTGCATGGATCTCAGACAGGTGGAGTTAGGGGAGCCCAGCAGTGAAAGAGCAGCCCCTGCCCATCAGGTGAGAGCAGGTGGGCTCCAGGGTGAGCAGGCCTGCTGGGGGTGGGACCCTTAGGTGTGTGGTCACCACTGCTGGTGCACACACACACAGACACACACACACAGGCACAGACACACCCCCCCACACATAGATACACACTCACACTCACACAAACCGATACACAGACACAGACATACACACTCACACCCAAACAGTCACACACACTCACACACAGAGACACTCACAAACACACACTCACACACACACTCATACACACAAACAAGCACACACAAACTCACACACACATATACAGATACACAGACACCCACATAAACTCACATACACACATACACACATACACAAACACTCTCACACACACACTCACACACATACACAGACACTTCCACTCAACAAACACACATTTGTAGACATACACACATACACAGACACACACACTCACACACATGGACACACACACACACACACCACAGTAGCCTGAGAATAAGGTTGGGAGAGAAATCATGAACATGGCTCATAATGCTAGGCATAACTTTCCATTTCTCTCTCATTTGAGGATCCACAGGTGCTTCTGTGATGACCCAGGCTCCTCCCTCCTGCCTTCACCATCTACCTCCTGCAGGTCCACCCAGAACCTTCTACAGACAGAGGGATACAATGATTCTTGCAGAAGGCAGGAAAGTCTGTGTGGTTTCTAAACCTTTGGGCTTTCATTTGTCTCTGGGTCTCAGGCAACTTCAGTGGCAGAGGATCAGGGACAGATTTCATATTACAACTCAGGACAGTGGATGCTGAGGAGGCTGTTGTTATTGCTGTGTGCAAGCTATAAAATTAACTATAAAAATTAAGGTATAAACCCCACAAACT